GGAAGCTAGAAGGCATGCAAAGGTAAATATTTGAACAGAACACAAGAGAAGAAAAATATATCTTAGAGATGAGAGAAACATTCCTGTGTTTATTACATATCTGCCTAATTCTGCAACTAATGCTAAAAAGATGTATTCTTGTGGAAGGTGCAGCATCCTAATATCCCAATGTTATGATCATAAAATGCACACCAGAATAAAATTCACAAGTAAGCCACATATAAGGGACTCATATAGCACAAAAATATTTACTACACAGCAATTATGCTGGACACAATCCATTGTCAAAGGTATATTAACGCACATACAGTGTTTTGGGAGTTGACTCTACTTCAGTATTCCTCAAACCTCTTTTACTCATCACACATCCAAATTTGTCAAAATCATATGAAGGCACACCACAAATTTTAACCTAACAAAAGGGGGCAACAAATATAAATGGACATCAAGTGCAAGCATATGAAAATAAAGATGACATGTTAGATAAACAACCGATGATAAACTTTTGTGTGTGTTTGTGTATTACAAATTCTCATAATAAAACATAAAATATTGCCTTTTACTAATGAAATGCGTGAATATACAATTTCCTATAAAAATTTGTGGCATATCTGCAACCTTGTGGCAGGATGCCAGAGTGCTGTGAAACACTGCTCTATTCCCATCTTAGAATACCAGTGTGGTCTAGTGGTTAGCATAAAAGTTTGGTATTCAAAGGGTTCCTGGTATGATCCTAACTGCTGCCACTAATACTGAAAATAAAACCAATAACTTGTCATCAGAAGATCAGAGTATACCTAACACGCAAATGTACATATATATTAAATATATTTCAGGCAATGGACAATGTATGTTCAACATAACTGTGGTGTTGCATTAAATATATAGACAGTAAAAACTGATGATGAAATTACCAGACTTTAAATTCAATGCTGCGACTGCATTCTCTTCAGTAGCAACAAACACTTTCTTAACTGTAGAAACTGTGTCCAAGTGGGCAAACTTTAACTTGCCTACATACATTTGTATCCTGAAAGAAGAAGGTAAACATTAGTGCTTTTCTGTATAGCTAAGGTTCAAGAGATTTAAAATGTGTAGCATGAACTTAAGCACAAATAATGTACAAAATATCTTAGTCAAAAGTGGGGACAAAACTCACCAGTCTGGATATGTGGCCATTCTAAATACACAATACTTTGATCATTTGGTTAATTTATGGAGCTGTATAAACTGCTAAGGTTAAGATATCTAGATTCAGTGATGTGGCAGGATGACTTAAAGTCATGATTCACAAGGGATGTGGGATGCAGCAGTTCAAGGTGTTATCCTGGAATTTGCTAGACCTGCAGAAAATTATGAACAGGGTGATGTGGTATCATTCTAAGTGATGAATCAGCATGAATGGAATATTTTATGGCAATGTACTAGTATGAAACTTGGGGTCTCATTTTGCAGGATAAACACAAAAGATGTTTCAATTTTAAAGGCCTGTTGTATATTTCAAGCCATGGCAGTAGTATTCCTAGTTGACCCACTGTGGGCATAAGACACAGCATGCTTCACACCATGTAACATGGATTTGTGATCTAATCCAAGTAAACAATGTCAGTGAACTTTAGAAGGATGACCATATATACATATCCTTCATGAATTCTTGTTATAAGGGCTCCTTATTTGTCTTTTATAAATAATTTTAAACAGCCTTCCTTAACAACTCACAGCTAACAGTTTCCTGATGTCAGGCTATACTCCATAAGTTTCAGTTAAAATGCCAATACATGGCTGTAAACAACTTAATTTCATATGGGTACGCTAATAATGCCCTTTTTAAATTGTTAAATTTTATTTATTTAAGGGTTGATTATAACATTATTTTTTATATTGCACTTTCAAAGACACATACTCAAACATTTTTTTAGTAACTTTCCTGTACAACTTTGAGTTTCACTGAAACAACTAATTCTGGAAGGGATCATGTCATTTATTTAAGCCAGGTACCCCACAAGATAGCGACCCTGCAAGCCAAGGACACTGCTAATATGTCTGCTCAAATTTTGGAATTAATTTCATCATACTTTTAGCATTGGTGTAGTTTACAGTTACAATCAATTGCTTGATTTGTATTTGCGGTCATCTTATAAACATAACATAAATGGCAGGGCCCCTGATATTTCTCTGAGTGATAAAAATGTGATCAAGACACAATCTACATCAAGATTCAGAAGAGAAGCATTTCAAACATTTTTATGTTTCAAAAAACAGCTAAGTATGATCTGAGATTCTCACGGTTTAAATACAAAGATGATTGTCTTTTTTGAGTTGTAGCACCATGTAGTCTGGTAGAAATTTATACCAGACTACACAGTGCTACAACCCATAAAACAGCCATCTTCCAAAAGACAGCTGTTCACAACACCATGCATATGATAGCACATGAAGTGGAAGTAGTAGCAGATAGGTACCAGCATTTACTGGTCCCAATGTTGGGTCAGATCATAATGCAGCACCTAATACAGAGGACAATTCTTCACCCCTATAATACTTTTAATGCTTCTTCACAGAGTTTATGGTCACATTATTAGTGCAGGAATCACATTCAACCAGCGATTAGCAGTCTACTGCAGGGTACCAGACATAAAAAGATGAAAGTTTTCAATGCACTGATGCTCTAGATGGGACAGGACATGACAAGAGGACTTAAATGAATAGCTGCAAGTTCAACATGAAGAATACTTTTCATGTTTGTTGTCTACAAGAATGAGTCAAAACTCATGTTTCCATATTTTAAAATTTAGTTTAACATTTGCTGATAACACAACTACTGCACCACGTAAAAAAAGCAGAATTTGGATTGTATGTGGAAGATGAGAAGATTCATAGAATATGTAAAAGTGAAAGGGAGAGGTGTACCATCCCTTCACACATGCAGCTGCAAATAAAGTAATTATCCTGCCGTCAGGGACCGAACCCCGGTCGTCCAATCCGTACCCAATCACTATACTGACTGACCCATCCCGGCTCAATTTAACAATAAATACAGACAAAATATCATACACACACAAACACCCGTGCGCGAGTGAGTGCATGTGTGTACTCTTTCGTCGACTATGTTACACACGGTCTTCAAAACTAAAATAAATATAAAAGCAACAGCCACATAACAAATTCTTATGACGAAGATTCAACGCTGCAATAATGGTGAGGTTACTTTCCAGGTTTTGAATAATTTTACACTAGAAACACTGAAATAATTACCGGTCAAATTTTCCAATTTGATCTTCATATAAACATAATGAGCAGTTAAAGGCCCACACAAATATAAATATTGTCACTGTATACTTCATAGTACAAATTACACCTTGCTAATTTGATTTAAACAGACAGGAAAAACAGCTTGAACAATTCTCTCATGTTGTGGCACAGATTAACCCAGGCGAGAGTATCAAAAATATTGCTAGGCAACGCTGCGCCGTCGTCGTATTGTGCTGCAATCTGTGAGCGAATTGCCTGTAAACACAACGACAACGTATCAGTAGTCCAGTCGATATGAAGGTTAGGTATTCTTCAACCTTCGAAACCTCTCCAACTCGCAAAGGCCATTCATATAACATGAATAATTTTTAAACTGATATCGTAAGTAATCTATGTCTCAGAGGACCTCGATCCATCTTTAGGGTAAAAATGGGTGTGTATTTTTTTATTTTTATGCATATATGTATTTATTTATGTATAACAATCTTCACAAATTTATCCTTCATTTAAAGGCATCCCAGCTAAATGAGACTTCCTTAAAATTATGATAAGCATTTCAACTATAGCAATCCATAATATCCTTACTAAAATGTACTGAACCACAAAGTAGTCTGATATTCATAAGGACTGAGGTCAGTTGAGGTATGAAAATTGTCAAAAAAAAAAGTTTTGATCATAGAAATTTATTTTTAACTTTATAATTAGTCTTCGGGTGTATACTTGGATCTACAGAAAACAACGTTTTCAGTGACTTCAATATATAACATGGAAAAATACTGAAAAGTTTCCAGTTATTGAATATTATTACACATTTACCGCAGTTACATATGGAAACGCAGTTTCTTGAATAATACCCATTTTTATAATGAGCCGGCACAGCTCAGTCGGTATAGTGACTGGCTACGGACTGGACGACCGAATTTCGATTCTCCGACGGGGCAGAGGATTTTTCCTTTAGCCTCTGCGTCCAGACCGGCTCTGGGGCCCACTCAGCCTCCTCTACAATTGGTACCGAGGTCCTTTCCCGGGGGTAAAGCCGGCCTGGGCGTGATGCTGACCACTTACCCCCATCTAGTGCCGAGGTCAAGAAAGAGAGGAGCTATACTTCCACTCACCCCTAGCGTCTGTTGGGTACGTAGCAGGACAAACTTTTTACCTATTTTTATAATATTGTGACGTGTTGCCGTGAGAGCAGCACAACAATGTCAATAAACAGTTCAATTGTCTGTTTATTGCCATTGTCACGTTTATTTATAGATATTGTTGCGTTAGACATTGTCGTGTTCAAACATTGTTGCGTTTGGCTTTGTTGTATTCGTTTATAGACATTGTTGTGCTGTTTATAGACATTGTTGCGTTTGTCTATTAGCATTGTTGTGTTCATTGGTGTGCTGCTCTATAAGCAGCTCATCCGTCCCATGATGGATTACGCATGCCCGATCTGGAGGTCAGCTGCCCGCAGCCACGTCCGGAAGCTGCAAGTTCTGCAATCCAAGTGTCTTCGCATTGTTACTAACGCGCCCTGGTACGTTAGTAACAGGCAAATACATGAGGATCTGGGGGTCCCTTTCTTTGCCGACCACATTAGAGCACTGACTGAGAGATTTGACTCGAGGTTAGCTGGTGTGGGGAACCCCTTAGTCCGGCAACTCGGGAGGCACTCGTGCTTTCCTCAGTTGTAAGGCGAATGCCAGGGTATAACTTAATAGGGGCACGGCCCGCCACCCTCCCCCCCGATCATGGAGGCCATCAGCTGAAGTGATCTTCCCCCCATGCCGCAGAGGCCTTCAGCCGAAACGGCCCCTCCCTCTCTGGGTTCAAACCCCAGAGATCCAACCAACCAACCAAATTCTTTTGGATAACTTGCCTGATGGGATAACCTCCCGTCAGCAGCAACAGATCCCAGTGTGAATGATCGAGGCTCCCGCCATGACGAAACCCCGTTAGCTTTAGCAAAATTTCCGTTTTTTATATTAAGACCGTTTACCATTTCCAGCAATGCGCCTTGTGCACAGGAATGGTTTCACCTAGGTAGGGACGATGCTTGCGCTTGCGCAGGACTCCGCCCTCAGTTAGCTTTTTTTTGGTTTGGCTTTTTTGACGAGAGTGTGAAGAGAGAGTGTGGAAAGAGATGAAGCGTGAGTCGGATGTAGAAATGAGTTGCAAGCGATAAGCTGTTGCGGACAGCGGTGGCAAGCGATAAGCGATGAGTGTGGAAAGAACAGAGCTGTGAATCGGGCGTAAGAGAAGTGTGTGGTTGAGTCGAGTGAGCCCAGTCGTTATAGATTTTTGTCGAGAGGCAGTGCAGTCTCCGTCATTTAATGTTAGCCTTGGAATTTAGCTAAGAGGTATTCAACTTCTTAATTCCAAACTTTCGAACGTCGGTACTCAAACAAATGCGTTCATCGGGATAATTAGCAACATTTATTTCCTGCGATACATGTTAAAATACTGTGTGCTTTGTAGAGTGAAGACGAGAGGACGTTCTCCTTTCAGTGACGAATGCAAGATGGAGACAAGTAGAACATTACACTTACGGTCTGATGTACGTGTGCGTGTGAATTGCATAAATGTGTCATTAAACTCCTTGAATTAACTTTCGACATTACACGCGTGCACAAAAGAGGCGAGAGTTTCTTATGGTGACAGCCAATAAATTCCGCATGTACCTGATTCACGAATTTTCGAAAAAAAACCATCGATGGTCGGAAATTGCTGAAAATTTACATAGACGTCGTGCCACAGGTAAGTAATACCATTTCATAATTCATACTCTTTCGTGTCACAGCACTTGTAATAAATTCGCACGAAGTTAGCAAAGTCCTGAGGTGGAGAAACGCGAAATCGGCCGCGATCACCCAACATTCGACTTTATCAACAAGTAATTACGCAAAAGAACGTTACTTTATGTTTTCTAACTGGTGCCTATACGTGCGCAGATACGTCATAAGACTAAAAAATGCACAAAATGAGTGTACAAATATTTTTATGGCGAAGAAACTGATAGTGACTAAGGTTATGTAAGCGCGTTGTAGCTTCATACTTAAGGATTCGCGCACAGAAATCACCATACGTAAATAAAGGTGTTACAATTGAATCTGAATACAGTCAAGTGACGGAAATTAAGAAAAACAAGAAATAAATATACAATATGAATTGCAAAAATCAAAAACCATTTCGAAAATTATGCGATTGTTCTTATCCAATGAATGTAGCGTACAGATGGCAGCATGTGTAAAAACACTTTCCGAATTAGACTGCTGATGGCGTGCTGTTACAGTCAGGTAAATCAATAACCCTTCTACGTACCGATTGGCCGACAGCAGAGCTCACAAAATTATGAAATCTAACGGAGAGAAAACTAAACAGAAAATTACGTGGTTCAATTTGATTGGATAGACCTGTACATCGGCTTTCAAATACGTGAGATTCACGTCAGCCCCGGAAGTGAAAGTCAGTCGTTATTGATTTTCGTCGAGAGGCAGTGCAGTCTCCGTGATTCAATGTTTGCCTTGGAATTTAGCTAAGAGATATTCACCTTCTTAAGTTCAAGCTTTCGGACGTTGGTACTCAAACAAATGCATTCATCCCGATAGCTAGCAACATTTATTTCCCGCGATACATAATAAACTACTGTGTGCTTCGTAGAGTGAAGACGAGAGGACGTTCTCCTTCCAGATTCGTATGCAAGATGGTGTCAAGTAGAAAATTACACTTACGGTCTGATGTACGTGAATGAGTGAATTGCCGAGATGTGTCATTAAACTCCGTGAATTAACTTTAGACATTACACGCGTGCACAAAAGAGGCGAGAGTTCCTTATGGTGACAGTCAATAAATTCCACATGTACCTGATTCACTGAAGTTGGACGGGCATAAATGTGACGTGTGTGTGCATATGTATACATATATATTTCTGACAAGCCGGATCTTTGTAATATCTCGATACACATTAAAATAAAATTTTGACATGTGTATTAATGATTGCTAAGCGTAAGCAGACTACAAATGCATTTCAACAACTACAATGCGTAAAAACATACACAAGTGACGTGAGCCAATAGTTTCTCGAGGTCAACAATAAGGTAACCAATGTAAAATTTTTGAAGTGTGAAGCTATGGTAGTAACTCTAACAACAAGATTGTTCTATAATTTGAGAACATTGAAATATTCGATTGTTTAATATCCCGAAATCGATATTAGAACTCATACGATGCCTTACCAGAGACAATTTGCATCACGTCACTGCGCATCAACTTCAGCGCAGATGACCCATTAACCTAACCTAACTAAACCAAGGCAACCGAACAGGGGTATTCTGAGTCAGATGAACATGGCGACCTGCGCACTAATTTTCGAAATAGATCATCGATGGTCGGAAATTGCTGAAATTTTGTATGGACGTCGTGCCACGGGTAACTAATAAAAATTCATACGCTTTCGTGCCACAACACTTGTAATAAATTCACAAGAAGGTATCAAAGTCGCGAGGTGGAAGAAACTCGAAATTGGCCACGATCACCAACATCGACTGAATGATGAAGGAGTTATGCACTCGAAATATTTTAAAATAAAATTTTAACATGTGTCTTAATATTTATTAAGCGTAAGTAGACCACACATGCAATTAAACAACTACAATTGCGTTAAAACATGCATAAGTGACATGAGACAATTGTGTTACGAGGTTCACAAGTAGGTACCCAATGTAAAATCTTTGAAGTATAAAGGTATGGTAGTGACTCAAACACAAGATTGTTCTATAATTTGAGAACATTGAAATATTCGAGTTTTTAATTTCCCGCAATCGATAACAGAACTCATACGATGCCTTAACATAGACAATTTGCACACGTCACTGCGAATCACCTTCTGCGCAGATGCCCCATTAACATAACCTAACATAAGACAACCCTATAGCGGTGATCTGCGTCAGCTGATTATGACGAACTGGGTATGAATTTTCGAAAAAAACCATCGATGGTCGGAAATTGCTGAAAATTTACATAGACGTCGTCCCACAATTTCATACTCTTTCGTGTCACAGCACTTGTAATAAATTCACACGAAGTTAGCAAAGTCCCGAGGTGGAGAAACGCGAAATCGGCCACGATCACCAACATCCGACTTCATCCACAAGGAATAACGCACAAAAACGTTACTTTACATATTATATCTGGTGCCTATACGTGCACAGATACGCCATCAGACTACAAAATGCAAGTGACGGAAAATAAGAAAAACAAATAAATATGCAATACGAATCGCGAAGATCAAAAATCATTTCGAAAATTATGCAATCGTTCGTACGTATTGAATGTAGCGTACAGATGGCAGCATGTGTAAAGAAACCTTCCGAAATAGACCGGTGACGACGTGCTGTTGCAGTCAGGTAATTAAATTAGGTATGAAAGTGAAGC